TGTGTGTGTGTGTGTGTGTGTGTGTGTGTGTGTGTGTGTGTGTGTGTGTGTGTGTGTGTACTGACGGATGGCAGCGATGAACTTTTCGAAGCTGCTAAAAGGAAACAGTGGCTCTGGAAGTTCTCTGAAGAAAAGTTTCAGCGCTCCGGTGATGACGTGGATCTCCTCCCACTGCCCGTCCTCCAGGTCCAGATGTTCCTCTGCAGAACCACAGAACCAGAACTGAAACACCTTCAGTTTATCTGAACCAGGTGATCCTGTCTGGAAATGCAGGTACCTGCCTCTCACCTTCTCCTTTACTACATCAGAAACTCTACTGAGTCATAACCCTGGTTAGGGTTAGGGTTAGGATAGTTACTTCCTGTGTTCTGGATGTGTAATAATTACCATGATCGGCTTTGTGTCGTAGTCTCTGGATCACGGCCAGGTTTCCACTGACCCTGTAGATCCCGTCGATATCCAGACCTGAAAACCCAAATGTCCAAAAATCAGCTGAAGTCAGCTTCATTCTGATTTTAAAACATCTAAACTGCTGCTAACGAAGACTACGCTTTACAGAGTCAGTCACAGGGTTCAGGGATGTGCACGTGGTTACAGGGACGTGCACGTGGACAGGAAGTCTTCAGGAACACTAAGCTGCTGACCGGCTCTCCTTTAACGAATGGATGAATGGTGGGGTGGTCTGTCTCCTCACCTCTCCTCTCCACCGTTCGGACACATTTCTCCACAAATTTAGGGATGGTGGTGTTCTCCCGGTGGCAGAGGGTGTCCAGGTGGCAGCCGAAGACGTTATCTGAGAGCAACAGTTTCAGACAGCGAGAAAACAAGAAACATCAGCTGTATTTATCGTAGTTTCCTTCAGGACCAGAAGACATCTGAATGTGATGGATCTGTGCTGGGGTCAGCCTTAGGGACAAGCCCAGAGCAGGAGGTGTTCTGCTTCGTTTCGTACCTCTGATGTATCCTCGCTCTTTGACGCTCTGCAGCGTCGGCCTCCTCTGGAGGAAACGTCTCAGCCTGCGCCGGATTCGGCTCTGCTCCGCGTCAGCTTGTGAAGAAGTCCTGCTGGCTACAAACAAACAAAAATACAAATATCTGATTGAATCCAAAGAGAAGAACTGAGCGCACAATCAGTCGAAAAACAACCATCCAGCTACACTCTGGAGCTTTTATTTTGAAGTTACAGGAAGCAGTTTCCTGTTTGTTCAGGAGTGACTCAAACAGAGCCACCCAAACAGAAGAACCTGTTCAGAACATCAGACTGGGTTCAGAAGACTCACCGGGTCTCTTCCTGTCTTTGTCCTCTTTTTCTGAGCCGGTCTCATCGTCATCGTCACTGGGATGCTCCTGTTCCTGGAAGAAGAACCAAAGAACCAAAGATGGGAACAACTTCAGCAGCAGGAGGACTCAGAGTCTTTGTGGTGTTACAGATCCCTGAGATCTCAGAGACCAGACCTGAGACCACGAGGTCATCAGGTGGGAAAGGTGGGGATCATCTGCAAAGAACTGAAGTCGTGTGATTGGATGATCTGGACCGGAGAGGTGGTGAGATGTGACTGGAGAGACCGTGTGTGTGTGTGTGTGTGTGTGTGTGTGTGTGTGTGTGTGTGTGTGTGTG